AACAACAACAACAACAACAAGAGAAGAATAAGTATATTTGAATTGGTTGGGTATACTGTAGATGCAGTAAGTGTCAGAATTGGAAGAAATGGCTAAAACTCATTCTTTTTCTTTGTTTTCATTGTATTTTCATCTGGGTTGGAAAGATGGGAGATGGATGGATGTGAGGGGTGCTTTACATCATAGGCATTCTAAGTGAAACAAAATAATTTTATTTTGTGGAATAAAACCTGAATATATAATCATATTTTCTCCAAGTAACTAGTCACATTTAAATGAAATTTTTCTCTTGGAGGAAAAATAGCGTAACAGCATATTAAAATACAATTCCTAAAAGCAATGTAAACAGGTTTTAAGTTCATATGTAAATGGGAATGGAAGTGCAAAACAAATTACCTGTCATAAATCAAGCCGTCACATGTTTAACTGGTGCCATTTGTGCTTGGATGTTGGATGACTGTGTCCTTGTACATGGTGTTCTGTTCCATCACTCACTCTTGTGAAATGCATTTAACACAAACTCCCCAGGGTCTTTTCTATTGTTGCAATTGCCTCATCACAACTCTTGTGTCTGAAATGAAGGAGAAATCTCGTAAAGGTTTCAGCAAGAAAGATGGAGCCCAACCCATCATTTCTAGATAGGGTTTCTAGGTAAAATACAAGCTGCCCAGTTAATTTTTTTCCCAGTTAAATTTGAATTTTAGATAATGAATAATTTATTTAGTATGACTATGTCCCAACTATTGCAATTTGTTTTCTTAGCACAACTATGTTCCAAATATTGCATGGCATATGCTTATATAAACAAGTATTTGTTTTTTATTTGAAATTCAAATTCTACTGGGTGTTCTATATTTTCATTTGCTAAATCTAGCAATCATATTTCTAGGCCATGTGTCAAAATCCTCAGTTATAATGTATTCATCCTTAGAGAACCAAAACCCAAAGAACCTAAAAGAGATTAGTCACTATGAGTCGGAATCAACTCAATGGCAGTGGGTTTGGGTTTTGCCCCAGTAGACAAGGTAGAAAATTCAATGAAAGTTCATTTGGTTTAGGGTGAAATCCAGAGCATTTCTAATCAAACTTCATAGTGCATGTGACTCACCTGGGGATCTTAGGTAAGTTTGGAATAGAGCTCAATATTCTGTATTTCTACAATTAGTCCAAGAGACTAGTATACCATGTGATCAGAAGACCATGAGACCAGAAGAACTAGATGGTGCCTGGCTACCACTGTCAATCACTTGGAGGGAGATCTCTATAGGAGATCCTGGATAGAGTGGGAGAACAATGTGGAACAAAACTTGAAATCATGAAAAAAGACCAGGTTTGCTGCTCTGATGGCGCCTGGTCAGACCCTTGAGACCGTGGCCCATAGTTGCCCTTCAGGTCTGGAGTTGAACCCACTCCTGTGACTTCCATCCAAACAATAGTGAGGCATATGGGGTGAACATTTACATCAGGTAGATATACTCCTTGGAGCGATCAATGGTGGGAGAACAGAAGGGCAGTGTTTGCACAGGAAGACAGCTGTGGGGTGGGGAGTGCACAGGAGGGAAGGACACAGGGAAGAGGTAATGACAGGGTGGAAGTGGGAAGAGAGATATTACATTGGGGAGACTTACAGTCAATGTCATGAAACAAAATGTGTATGAACTGCTGCATGGAAAATGAGTTAGCTGTGTAAACTTTCACCCAAATCACAATAAAAAGTAAAAAAAAATAAAAAGCTCTGAGGTATTGTTTGTGCTTGCCCCACACATTGAGTAGTAGGGTAAGGCAAGTTTTCTTACCCTGCACGGGGAAGGGGTAGCTAACCTGAGGTCACTGCTAATGGGGAAATTTTAAAATATCTAAACCAAGAAGTGTTGACAACTTTCACCAAATGCTGCTCTGTTTTATCACAGGTGCTGGCCAACCTACAACATTGTGATGTGGTCTTCAAGTATCCCGATCATTCACCATTTGTTTATTGAGGGTGTCCCTGGCAATCATCTAACAAAATCCCAAGTTCGGGGGCTCCCCAGCATTCATCTAATTTCAGAACGGCTATTCTAAAAGATGGTGTCTGTTCTTTCATAGCACAGCATTTGTGTTTTACTTTTTTTGTTTGTTTTTGCATTTGCACATATATAAAAGAGAATATTGGATTGTCATGATCCTGAATAGCTCAAAGAGGGTCTTAGCATGGTCAAGCAGGCTTATGGTTTAAAATGTGTTACTCTCTTCTTTGGGACTTAATTACATAAGTGAGACAATAAACCTGTTTTGTGTTAGTATTTCTAGGAATTAAACATTCTTTGTTTACAGAGTGGAGCTGCAGAAAGTGCGAGACATGCCAATTTGAGATGTGGTCTTCTAAAATAGGAGCATAAGATTAACGCATTTCAGGAACTAAACATCACAGTGAGCTCTCTGAGCTATAACTTGTTTTAATGCAAGGACAATAGTCTGATAATATATACTGTAATCCGGAAACACTTGTGTTACTTATCTTTTGAGGGGAGAAGTTTTATCAATAAATTATTGCACAATTAGTATTAGATTTTGTGTATCTTGGAAGTTATGTCATTAATATAGGCTGTTCCATCAAATAAAGAGAACCTTTGCAATATCTGCTAGACTTACACTCTGGGACATTGCCCAAAGGTAGGAAAACATCAGAGGGAAATACTTCAATCATCATTTCCAAAGTTATTACCAAAATCTGTGAGGTAGTTTAATCTTCAGAAGAGTGGGGGGTCAGAGCCCAGAGGTCTGTGTGGCTTGCTTTTCTTCAGGCACTAGATTAGAAGTCCTCAGTAAGAGTCTTTATTAGGCTATGGAAAATCGCATCGAGATAAATCCATCATTAGGAGTAACCACTTGCCTCCAAGTTCTCCTTGAGAGCCTGAAGCTCAAGTGTCTAGATAAAAACATTAAGTCCATCCAGAATAGAATCCAAAATGACATAATGATCTGAAAAGCCACTGGTGTGTGATCAACAAGAACCTATCGCTGCAATCGTGCCCTGCCCACTCCAATGGATAGATGCTCTCCTGCATTCTTCGTCACCACCTCTCTTCACCACCCAACATCCTGGATCCTGCTCGTGGAGCAGTTTAGAGAGGGTCCCTCACTGAGAGCTTGTTTGTTTCCTGCCCTGTGTGATGAGTTTCAGCTGGCCAAGAAAGGAGTCAAGTTACTAAAACAGCATCACGTTTCAGGTCTCCAGGCTGTTTTCTTTAAGACTGGGGAAAGAGGCGCTTATTTATTTTGCCTTAAAAACGATGGCATATAAGTGAAGATAACATGATATGAATGTAGACTATGGAGACACTCGTTATAGGTTAATGTAGTCATAAAAGGAGATCAAGTAGATGCTTTTCTGTTATGTAAGCAATGTTTTCCTGTGTCTTCCTGAGTATGACTAGCAATTATTTATTTACGTGTAAGATGGCTCTTTGCATGCAGGTTCTATATAAGTGCAGACATTTCCTCAGCCTCTGGAGGTTTTTGACCATATTGTCATTCGGGTGAGCTGTTGTGAGATTGAAATTTACACATCATTTCTTAAAAATTGTGCCTTAGAAAATGCAAAGCTGTTGCACATAGTTAGTGATGAATTATGGATGCAGTACATTGATGAGAGATGAAGTCACTTCCAAGTTCCCAAGACTTCTCATGGAGGTCTTTGCTGTTTTACATGAAAAAAAAAATTAACAAGAAAAAGAAAGTTTTGAAAATGTACAGATCAAGTCCAATATTTTGATTAACCACCTGCATGTTTTATTAAACATTTTGATAATGTGGATGTTTACACTTTGCATGGTATATTAGCGGAGTACTTTACCACACATAGTGCACACACAAAACATGTACAATATGATCATTCATAACCAATTTTTATAGAATACTTTTTACATGTGGAACTCCATCCGTTATGTAAGGACTGTATGACTATTGCACATTCTCTTCTGGTTTCACAGACTCATTTATACATATTTCTTAGTGAGACTCACTGTACATGTACTGAAGCTAGAATCGAGTCACGAAAAATAAAGCCCCATTCTCCAACTGCAAAATGTGCTTTCCCATAATGAACACCAGCCACCAGCACAGAATAATCTCCAACATTTTCTAAATTCTTATTGCCAACTGTTTCTATTTCTATTTGATTTATATTTCATTTGGAGTCTGTTACATGGCAGCTTCAGCAGACTAGATCTTGTTTTTCCCAATGCAACATAATGCTTATGATCTATTTCTTTTCAAATAATCTTTGCGATCCCAGTGGGGGGGTGCTCTACTCTGTTGAGCTATAATGTAAATGTGTTTGAAAAAAAAAAAATGGACAGGGCAAGTGAATGATTTATTGTTCCTGAGGAAGTATATCTGATTTTTTTCCTCATACTCCAATGCTAGTCCTATTCTTTCTTAAGAAAACGTGGGTAATACTTTGTTTTTCATTAGCAAACTTTATGACATTTCCTCATTCTTTCTATGTAGTGTTATTAATGCAATACGTATTCTAGTTATCTATAGTGTTAAGATTTAACAAACTGAAAGGATCCACCTCCTATATGAGTCCGTCCAAACTATGTTACTGTTATGGGTAAGCCAATGTTCTATATCAGTTACACTAACCTTCATTTACAATATTTATTCTCAAATGCCTCTGAGAAATAGTAAAAAAAAATAAAAATAAAAAGTTGTCTAAAATGCAACAGCTTTTATAGTAAATGTACATTTATAAATAAAATACTCAAATCAATTTTGTATTCCATTGATTTGGGGGTGGGAGCAGGTGTTGGATTTCTTACTGGGACAGAATGAATCTCTCCCTTGTACTATGTGGCCCAGAGTTGTGTGTCAGGTGATGCCAGTGGGTTCATGTATATCTGGGGCCAACTCTTTAGGGAAAATCGAACTTATCAGCTGGTTGTAGAGGTAACAGAGGAATTGCCTTGCACTGAAGGGCTTAAGGCAGCACAAACCATTAAGCACGTGGCTACCAAAAAAGGTGGGCAGTTTGAATCCACCTAGAAGTGCCTCAGAAGAAAGACCTGGTGATTAACTTCCTAAAGATCACCCAAGCCCACTGAAAACTCTATGGAGTGCATTTTTATTGTGAAACACACAGGGTCACCATGAGTTGAAATCCAAGCCACAGCAGCTAATTTTGTTTTTATTTTTGAAGCATTCAAAATTCCTTGGGGTAACAGGTAATTCAGGATAGAGTGAGAGGCAAATGTGGAACAAATTTCAATAAAAAAGACCAGGCTTACTGATCTGATAGAAACTGGTGGGACTGTGGAGACTATGGGCCTTAGTCACCTTCCAGGTCTGGAGCCAAACAATAGACAAGCCTGTGAGGTGAAAAGTGACACCAGGAAAAGTGCACTTCTTGGAACAATCAAATGTCAAAGATCAAAAGGACAGCTTTTGCCCGGATAAAGCTCAGAAGGCAGGAATGCATAGGAAAGGAGGACAAAGAGAAAGGGTAAACACAGCAAGGAAGTGGGAAGAGAGCTGTTGCACTATGGGGACTGCAATCAATGTCACGAAGCAAAATGTGTATGAACTGCTAAATGGAAACCGGTTGACTCCATACTTTCACCCAAATCACAATAAAAAAATTAGTTTAAAAAAATTCCATGAGATGAGCCCACAATAACCAGGGGGAGACTATGCAAATGCCAGTGGGAATTGTCTGAAACACCCAAACAATGAACAACTTCCAGCACTTGCTACAGAAAAACAAGGCAAGTCCCTTAAATCCCTGCCCCTGAAGTTTTTCTGCACCAACGTTCCCTGCACACCATGTGCAGTCTGTGTCACTGAGGGCCATTTGCTCAGTTGTTGAACCAGTACCGAGCAGTGAAACAGTGGCATCACACTGATACTGTTAACTCTTCCTAAAATTCACATATTTCATTTTGCACGCTGTCTCATACTTGTAAGTGGTTATAAAGCAAGCAAATTCCTTAAAATTTTCAATGGCTTAAAGATGTAATGTTCTATTTACTACTGTGCTTTGTAGTCTGCTTTTTTGATAAATTTCTGTAGGCAGTGAGTAGTTGCTGTTGTTTCCATAGAAAAGAATTCTTTCCTGAGAGAAATGTTAGTGGCTATCAGAGTGTCAGGGTGACTTAATGAATCCAATGTTATTTAAATGAAAATCCCTTCCACTGGAATGCATTTCAAAACAAAAGACTTAAAAAAAAAAAAAAAAAAAAAGGTTTATAAAGAATGTTTTTATTAAGAGAAAACATTTTGCCTAACTTCCTTTCTTTTGACTTTCTTTAAGACTTAAGGACTTCTGTTTTTGGATCCAAATCTAGACCACACAGGAACCAGTCCCTCCCCCATTCGTAGGCAATATCTTTCGCAGCAGTTATAAATTTAAATGACAGGAAGAAGAAACAGGCCTCTAAAATGAGAAAAGGAAAGACTATAGAGTGGTGTAGGAGTTCTGGTGGCCTAGTGCCTAAGGCATTTGAGTGCTAACCAGAAGGCTAGTGGTTCAAATCCACCAGCCACTCCTTGGAAGAAGATTGGGCAATCTACTTCTGTAGAGATAAAGCCTCAGAAACCCAAGGAGAGGTCACTATGAGTCAACTCAACGATAGTGAGTTTGTTTTTTTGTTTATTTGTTTTTATAGAGTGATAAAGACTGTGGCAAACTAAAAAAAAAAAAAAAACCTGAAGATAAGGTATAGTTACTTGGCTCCTGTGAATTGTTTTTGTGTAAAAATGTACCCAACACATATACACACTGCCTTGAGTTGATTCCTACTCATGTTGTTGTTATTTGCCGTCGAGTCGGCCCCGACTCATAGTGACCCCTCCTTGGGTTTCCGAGGCAGTCGAGTCGGCCCCGACTCATAGTGACCCCTCCTTGGGTTTCCGAGGCAGTATCACTATGGAAGTAGGATTGCCCAACCTTCCTTCCGAGGAGTGGCTGGTGGGTTTGAACCGCCAGCCTTCTGGTTAGCAGTCAAGTGCCTTAGCCACTATGCTACTCATAGTGATCCTCTAAAGGACTGAGTAGAACTGCCTCATAGAGTTTCCAAGGCTATATATTTTTATGGAAGCAGATTGCCTCATCTTTCTCCCATGGAACAGCTGGTGGGTTCGAACCACCAATCTTTTGGTTGAAAGCCCAATGCTTTAACCACAGCACCATCAGAGCAACTTGTAAAAATGTACACTTTTTTAAAATGTTGGCAACAATTCAGTTCATTTTCCAGTACAAGGCCAAACAAAATTGTGGAACTCAACAAAATACATCTGCAAGTTTAATTCTATTTTCAAATCACAAAACTGCAACCTGTTGCTAAGTCTTCTCTTCGTTTTTCTATCAGCTGCTACTAACTTGCTCTGCTGTGAGTCATTCATTTGACACATATATCAAGAAATGATCATACAAAATATTCGCTTTCCAGAATGTCCTGGGTTCTGCAGAGAGAGAAGCTAATAGTAATTAATGAGCAGGTAGTATTGCTATGACTCTTAACACTTCTGCATAGCACTATTTGTATAATGTCATCAAAGATTGTTATTACAAACATCCATGTTCAGTGCCGTGCCAAACCCTGAAAAACAATGCCCCTAATAGTTTCATTCTTGGCTCTTAGTGACTCAAAGGGACACAGAAAAGTGTGCAAATATGCAAAGTAGGATTTTTTTGTAACTTTGTTTAGCATCATTTTTTCAAATGCACTTTAAAAAAAATTTTTCTTCTTTTGGTGAAAGTATACACAGCTGAAGATACACTATTTCAACAATTTCTACATGTTCCATTCAGTGACACTGATTTCATTCTTCAAACCGTGCTGTCATTCTTACTATCCTTTTCCACATTATTACACCACCATTATCTTAATTCACTGCCACCTAAGCTTCCCATCCAAACATTCGAGTTACTATTGTCAATTTAGTCTCTGTGAGGGTTAGGGCTATGTGTCAATTTGGCTGGACTATGATTCCCAGTTTTATATTGAGATGTAATCCATACTGCAGACTGTGTTCCTCACTCTTCATCAGTAAGTGCCTCAAGTCATCCTCACTTTCAGCAAGCAAAGTTGTGTCCTCAGCATATCTCAGGTTGTTAATGATTCTTCCTCCAATTCTGATGCCATGTTTTTCTTCATATTGTCCAGCTTCTTGGATCATTTGCTCAACATATAGATTGAATAAGTATGTGGAGAGGATACAACCCTGACACACTCCCTTCCTGATTTTAAACCATCCAGTGTCCCCTTGTTCTGTTCGAACAACAGCCTCCTGGTCAAGGTACAGGTTCCTCATGAGTACAATCAAGTGTTTGGGAATTCTCATTCTTCTCAATGTTATCCATAATTTGTCATGATCCACACAATCAAATGCCTTTGCATAGTCAATAAAGCATAAGTAAACATCTTTCTGGTATTCTTTGCCTTGAGCCAAGATCCATCTGACAGCAGCTATGATATCCCTTGTTCCACGTTTTCTTCTGACTCCAGCTTGCACCTCTGGAAGTTCTCTGTCAATATACTGCTGCAGCCGTTTTTGAATTATCTTCAGTAAGATCTTACTTGCGTGCGATATTAATGATATTGTTCGATAATTTCTACATTCTGTGGGATCACCTTTCTTTGGAATGAATACAAATATGGATCTCAATATAAAGAAGACAAAGATCCTCACAACTGGACCAATAAGCAGCAGCATGATAAATGGAGAAAAGATTGAGGTTGTCAAAGAATTCACGTTGTTTGGTTCTACAATCGACGCCAATGGAAGCAGCAGTCAGGGCATTAGACGATGTGTAGCACTGGGCAGGTGGGCTGCAAAGGAACTCTTTCAAGTGCTGAGGAGCCAGGATGTCTCCTTGAGGACTAAGGTGTGCCTGACACAGGCCATGATATTTCCAATCGCCTCGTACGCATGTGAGAGCTGGACAATGAATAAGGAAGACCGAAGAAGAATTGATGCATTTGAGTTGTGGTGCTGGCGAAGAATGCTGAAAGTACCGTGGACTGCTAAAAGAACTAACATCTGTCCTGCAGGAAGTGCAGCCAAGATGCTCCTTGGAAGCGAGAATGGCCAGACTTCGTCTCACCTACTTTGGTCATTTTGTCAGAGGGGACCATTTCCTGGAGAAGGATGTCATGCTTGGTAAGGTGGAGGGTCGACAAAAGAGGGGAAGACCTTCGACAAGATGCATTGACACGGTGGCTGCGACAATGGGCTCAGGCATAGCAAAGATCGTAGAGCTGGCGTGGGATCAGGTGGTGTTTTGTTCTGCTGTGCATAGGGTTGCTATCAGTTGGAAATGACTCAACAGCACCTAACAACAACAACAACATGATTCTCAGTGGCTTGGTAGATATTATGTAATCCTCCATTTTGTGATCTGATGTGAGCAGCCAATCAGTTGAAAGGGGAGTTTCCTTGGAGTTGTGGCCTGCAACATATATGTATGATATTTTTGTCAAAGCTCACCCTCTCTCAATTCTGCATCCAACTCGTCATCCTCTGACCTCCAGTTCTTGGAACGTTAGCCAGCAGTCTGCCATCTGATCTGCCAATTTTGGATTCATCAGCCTCTGTAACCACATGAATGAGGAGATGCCTCTAGCCTGATGCCTGATCCATGAATTTGAGATGTGTCAATCTCCACAACTGTGTGAGCCACTTTCTTGCAATAAATACCTTTCTCTAGATAGATAGATAGATGATAGATAGATAGACAGGCAGACAGATAAATACCTTTCATGGTTTTGCTCT